ATTATTTTATTCAATTATTGTTTATTATAATCTTTACTTAGTTACCGTAAATAATGTTTTAATTAAACTTTGAATATATAGTGATGAATGAGTTTTTCTGATTCTTAAATAGAACGTATACATAGATACATAAAGATTGCAAAATGAAAGATTACAATTTGGAAATGTACTTTAAGTGATTATAATAGTAATGACTATGATTAAAGGTGGCAGTGAATGGAATCAATTATTCGAGTTTACCGCTTTATTTATTTGAACATTTAAATATTGATACAAAGAGGCACCAAACAAATATGCGACAAATAAATCATTCGATTTGTGTGTGCGAGCTGTGATATCACCCGGGTGCTCAAACCAAAACAGTTGACTTTCTTAGGGGGTCATACCCCGAGCTTTTGACCTAAAGGTCTGATCCACAAGGCAGTGGAGCAACGTAAGGAGATACCGTTCCATGATAGTCGGTGACCAATGATTGGTTCATACACCAAATGTTTCCTTGGGATTTTGGAACCCATGTGCACCACTGCTTTGAAATCACGGTTTTCTAACTCCTCTAGTTGGATCCTCCATATCCTCCAATCCGGTTAAAGCACTGGACTTTCGATTTTTGTTCTCTCAACTTTGTAAACAACAACCCAAGTGCGAGAAGGCAATTAGTAGGACTTCCCTGGCAGAGGCTATATACACGTGGCCATATGAGAACATTTCGAGAGGAGAAGATGATTCTCTCCACCGTCGGCCGTTCTAGGGCATTTGGGGTCTTACCGGTATAATGATTATATTAAGAATAAATGGTTACGTCTACTTTGTTCTTAAGTTAAGTTTCAATGCCTGATTCATTCATTTAATTGAAAATCATGTTTAATTTATTGGTTTAGTTTCTAGCAAACAGGTAGATTTATATTTAAACTGTTATCCAATGTGTAGGATATGTGTTTATACGATGTTACTAGTCATCTATCTAAGACGATAGTAATTAATGTATTTAAATGTAGATATTCATGTACTGTGTTAAGATTGAATTCTAGTATTCAAGTGAACGGGTTTACGGTTTATTCAGTTAGATTTGTAATTATTAAATGAACAATAATGTTGTCATCAGTATAGGATTGTGGAGATTGTTTAGTTATGACTGAAATCAATCAATATTAGAACACCACTGAACACCTGGAAGTACTAAACATTCTAGTATGGAACTCCTCAGTAGTGCTCATCCACCATAGCGCAACTGGAGTCGAAACCAGGACCTTCAGTCTTGCGCGCAAACAGTTAGTCAATTCACGATATTGTGTGACTACCCTCCATTTTCTAACATTGATTGATTCATGATCTCAATCAAAAATCGACAATCTACAATACCTTATAATGATAATTACTACGTGCTCACTAGTGACTAGCTTTGAGAGGTAATTATCAAACTTCTAGTGAGAAGCCATGACAGGTGTAGTTAATCCGCGTGTGGTATGAGGCAGTAACTCATCGAAGGCAAAAGAAGATGGTCGCGCAATATCGTGGATTGGTTGAGGTAAGACATTAACACTATTGGTTGCCAGCTCAATGATTTAGAGGTTAAGCGTTTGCACGCAGGACCAAAGGTTCTAGGTTCGACTTCAGTTACGGCATCATGGATATGCACTGCTGGAGAGTCCCATACTAGGACGAAACGGTCGTCTAGTACATCCAGACTTTCAATGGCGGTCTAATATTGATTGATTCATGATCTAAATCAAAATAATGTCGTATATATATATAAGTTATTGTGAAATTTAGTAAGATTAGGAAATTTAATTGTCCTGAGACTATTAACAACCAAAGCGTGGGTATATTTGAACTTGTATCTATTTCAAATAAAATGGAAATTAAAACCTACGAATCAAATTCAGGAGTATTATCAACTCATGTAAATAGATTTAGTTTATAATTAAACTGGGTCTCATAAAATTACTTGTCTATATGGCCCTAATCCATAAACAACGTGATAGATATACATATAAGTAAATTATGTATTCATTTGATATAAATTCTTTCTGAATTATTAGTATTTATTCTAGAATCGGACGCAATTAAAATTAATGACTGAGTACGGTCAAATGAGGATTAATGATAATCTGGCTAAATTTATTATTGGTATGTTAATAATGTAGTGAAACATCAGGAAAATTATTTGTCGTAGACTTGTTGAGGATGCAGTGAACAAAAAGTAATTTCGATGTATTTCCTACTTCATTTATTTCCAAAAATAAATGGCAGTCCATTCTATGCAGTGTTTTGGTTTGGATAGTGTTAGACATCAACACCAACCATCGCTGAATCGGTGATCTGGAGGTTAAGTTTGCGTGCAAGGTCGTAGACACTCACTTTTAAGGAGTCTCATACTAGGACAAAACGGCTTTCCAGTGTTCTCAGGTTTTTAATGGTGGCCTAGCTTAGATCGGTTCATGAGTTCCATTAAATGCAATTGAAAAGGACGGAGAAGCCCTCAGATGCTCTAAAGTTGCTGAAGAGATTTCGTCTAATCGGGACCTAAGAGAACCTTCTAGAATACTAACGTGGCATGGTGTGATCAGACGGTTGTATGAAATTCCTATTTGCGTACTGGCTCAATTATAATGATGTTGTAGATGATACTAAAAACTATAAATATCCTTGCTTTTCTGCAAACTTTTGACCCTTACACAATAATCGCTTACTTTGCTTTTTCCATCTTTTGATTTGCGAATGTGGGGTTCTATTTATTCGAGTGCCAATAGTTGTATACCGTATTCTGTCCCACTCAAGTAGAGGAAGTAACAGCAACAATTTCTATTATTTCATGCTGTAATAATATTATCAAACTGATAGTCGCATAATGCTTTCAATAATCCTGTATTTCTTGGACACTAATCAGCAAATTTTTAATCGAAATCGCTCACACTGGAGTCAATCGTTAAAAATGTGTTTATTATGTTTAGATTTAAGGTGGTGGTTGGACATAGACTACAGGAAACCAAATATATAAGTAGCAATATATTTGACTATAAAGCTTAGTGACACGGGACTGAATCAACGAGGTAGCATTAGTTCCATTTAGATTACAGGTACAATTTGCTGACGAGCTCCAAATAACACGAAACTCAGGTTCAGGATTTCTTATCGACTACTTATAGCCAACTCTTTACATCTCAACACAATGCAAGAGATGCTGATTTAGTTGAACACTACTTGTCGCATCACAACTTAGACGATAGAATTCTATCAGCACTAGGAAAGATCATATATTGGATACCACTTAGTGATCAATCATTTGTCAGGTAAACAATGAACGAAACTCTGTCTACATTAATTATCGTTAAGGTATGGCAAGCAATAATAATCTCAGTTTCATCTGGATTTAAACTATAGAAATTCTGGCAATCCGTCAACCTAAATGATAATCTACCATACTGGTTGAGCACTGCTGAAGAGTCCCATACTAGGACAAAACGGTCATCTAGTGCTTCCAAGTTTTCAATGGTATTCTAACAGTGATCCATTCATTCAAATTATTTGGTAAATTTATCGATCCGGTATAATTTTATCGAATATTTCATTCCCTTATTTCTTTTCTTTTTTTTGTTTGAAAAAAAGCAATTCACTTCCATTCATTTACCATCATCACAACTATGAATGTTAATATGTAAACGAGAGGTAAACCCTCACTATTACAATCCCATTCAACAATAGTTGAATAATAATAATAACAATGATAATAATAATAATACTAGTGGTAGTAGTATGCTCATCATTTATTCATATTTAATTAGAAAAGTGGTGTTTAACGAGATCAAACGAAGAGACATGGGATAATAGTAGTAGTAGTAGTAGTAGTAGTAGTACTACTACTACTAGTAGTAGTAGTATTAATGGGAAAGTTTGATATTCATTGGAAATAGACCAGATGAAAAATTAAATAACATACAGCAGTAAACAAAAACAAAAAAGATGAGCAGAATATAGAAAATAGAACAACATCTATAGTAATAATGATAGAAAAATGCAGAATAAAAGAAAGATATATCAAATTGTTCATTTCTGTCTTTCATATGTTGAATTATTGATAAAAAAGAAAAGAAAAAAGAAAAATATCATAGAGAAAGTTAGCCATGGAAAAGAAAGTGTACAATGTCTGTAAGAATGACAATGTTGTTACCGTCATCATCATCATCATCATCATCATCATCATCATCATCGTCGTCGTCGTCGTCGTCGTCAAAATATGAGTTAAAATTAAACAAAATAAGACGAGAAAAAACAAACAAACAAGACATTATATTATTATGAACACTAGAACAAAGAACCAATATAACTTTTGGTTACATAATAGAATAAAATAGTGATATTGAGTTTATTTTGTGCTAAATAACACGCACACACACACACACGTACACACAATTGTTTAGAGAGAGAGAGACCTCCTCCCTCCCCAAAAAATAGACAAATAAATCATCTATTCATACAAAATAAGGTAAATTAGAAGTGGATAGATCTATCGTTTAGTAAGTTAACATAAATAAAAGCTTAACTATTCATGTCATAATCATTTATAATAAATAATGAATAATAAATTTAATGTATTAGAGGGGTGCAATAGTACCGGTGAAATAATATTGGAAGAGTATTTAAACAAACAAACAAACAAATAAAGAAAAAAAACTGGTATAAAGAAAAACAAACCAAACCAAAACAATTACATAATGAGGGAGGAAATGATTTATCCACTTTAATCATCATAATAATCAAGATAATCATTTTAGTATTATTTATCTAAGAGGAACAAAAAGAGAAAAGAAAACAGTATTCTACAAGGAATATATGAATATGAAATACTTTCTTATTCATGGTAATAATGACGTAATGAATAAACAAATATGCTTAGATATATATATATATATATATATATATATATATATATATATATATATATATATATATATATATATATATATATATAATCACAGTATGAACAATGTAAAGCAGCTTACTCTATTCCCCTCGTTGTTACCAAGGTGATGTGACTGTACATAATAATCTTTATAAATATATATATATATATATATTCATCAATATTTTGTTTCTATTTGAATAAAATGATTATTACTGATAAAAGAATATTGTTCATTATTATTAGGATAATGATATTATTATTTAATATAATGGAGTTGGTTGTAAATCCCATGAAATTTCATCAAATGAATCATGACGATCTGTAAGTAATTGACTTTCAGATTTTTGTCTTATAAGATGATGATATTTAAATGAATCAGATAATGTACTCATCATCATTAATTTCATCATATTATTCGATGTATAATTTGTACGTGATAATGGTACACTAGTTGGATGATGATGATGTTGTTGTTGTTGTTGTTTATAATGATTTGATAAATGAATTGAAGGAAATTGTTGTTGTTGTTGGGTTAATGTTGATTTATTATTTATTGATTCATCACAAAATGAAAAAAATATATCCGGATCACTTGGAGAACGGAATATAGTTTGATTACGATTAGTATTATTGAAATTATTCATAGTTGGATAAGATAATTTTCGATTTACATCTGTAAAATGTATAATAATAAAAAAATTAGGTCGTTCATTTATTGACAATTTATATCTTTTTATTTACCTTTACCTAGTCGGACATTTCTCATTTCGATTATACTATGTTGTCGAGATAGTTGAATCGTATAGTTTATGTCGTGGATTGATCTCAGTATGACGACCATTGAACAGCTTTTTAGTCCTGTTTTGGAACTTCAGAGCAGTGTATACCAAGGACTTCAATGAATGACTAACCTTTGAATATTCTATCATTCAAGTGCCCGTCCAAATACCTGAATGCCTTAAGTTTATATCCTTGTTGTTTCGTAGGTTTTGACGGTTAAAGAGATCTATACTATGCTAAAACAACTGTCCAGTGATTTTCGGTTCTCAATTGTTTTTTAACTAAAATGAGACCATGATGTAAGTCATGATAATCATATACCAGAAAACAATGGTGGATGTGTCACTTAATTTCGTGGATTAGTTGAAGTTAGACATTCACACCGTTGGATGCCAACTCAGTGATCTGGTGGCTAAGCGTTCGCGCGCGAGGCTGATAGATTCTGGGTTCCAACCACGAGAGGTGGGATCGTGGATGCGCATTGCTGAGGAGTCCTACGCTAGAACGGGGGGCCCGTCCAGTGCTTTCAGGTTTTTCGTGGTGGTTTAACTTCAATTGACTCATGATCTTGTAGTGAACTACTTTTATGAAGATAACGTGGTTGGTATGATGGAAACAATTATTATTATAACCAATAGTACCAGTGATTGTTTTACGTTTTATGAAGATAACGTGGTTGGTATGATGGAAACAATTATTATTATAACCAATTGTACCAGTGATTGTTTTACGGTACCTGTTTGTTTAACAGTACTAAAACCTTATCTTCTTCCGTTAACTGTGACCTTGCACGCATTCGCGTACGCTACGTGGACCCGCTTGTACTCTTGAGCATGATTTCAGTATTATTTCGATACTACGAGATTGCCAACAAATATATTCTATTAAGACCGTCAATGGCCTTTTGATTTCTAGTCTACGAAGGGATCAAACTAACATCTGGTATGTAATCTTCCTGTAGTGGTGATCATAGCCAATCGCGACTCGACGCCTACTACAATCTCAACCACTGAAATGACTTTGATATTCAAGAAAATCCTTCTGATTTATCGTAATTGTAATGTAGATTTCAGAACATCTTACGTACTTAGACAAAAGACTGGTCTAAATACACTTAATGTATAAATATTGATTGATTCATTTTGGATGAAACTATCTTTGGTTTTTTCTTATAAAGGGGCAAATAAATAAAGTATGAATGAGCAAACTATAACAAACCTATCGAGTTTTCATATACAACCCATGAGGTCATTAAGTAATATGTAAATAAATATAGTTAGTAGTTAGATGATTTCAAACTTGTTTCAGGCAATATGTTATTTTATAGTTTAGAAAATTTTTGTTTCATACCATAGATAGATTCTCATTGGTTAGATTATATTCTATTTAGATAAATAATTGTATACTTAATAACCTTAGTCAGTGTTGGATTAAAGTGGTTAATCTTGTAAACCAAGTCTTATCTATCATACATATGATTCTATTGTATTGTATTGTATTTGAAACCTCCATGTTTTATTCTATTTAGTTTGCAATTGAATCATAATTAAATTGTATTATTGAAACAACATATTCTCTACTGCTTTTGGATTACTGAGTAGTGACTAATAAGAAATACATGTCTTACAGGAGGTAAGTCGAGTGTTAAGAAGCTCAGACTATGAAACTAGATGATATGAACTTGAATCCACAAGGAACGAGAAGTTCTCTCAAGGCTACATGCTTTGTTGTGACGAGTGGAAAATAGCACGTAATCTAAGTCAAACAGAGTTCCCTTCCGATTACCACCAATTATTTAACCTCTAAACGAAGTGCATACAGCATCGAGTCACTTAAACTAGTAGTCATATTGCGATTTGATCAATAGAATTAGATCAACACTGGAAAATTAAACAAACCTGACATCATTAAACCGCGAACTGATTTTAGCTAGACTACCCATTAAAAGCATAGAAATATTAGATGGTCTGTTCTTCCTAGTGTGGGGCTTATCAACAGCGTAGATCCATGAACGTGCATCCAGTCAATAAAATGTCATTCGTAACCGTTTAATCATAGCAGTTATGACAAATGTCTATCATATCACCAAATACATAAATGAAGCTTACAAATACTTATATCGTGATTTACCTTCTGATAATTTAAAATTGAAAACAAACAAATCAATTTCTACACTTTTATCTACGTGTAATATCCTATTCAATCGAGTAGAGCATTTTGATAATCACTATTGCTTGTCACAGATTCTGCTAGAATGATTAGAAATACTTCAAAATTATAGTGTCCTTATAAAATATGAAAACCATACACTAAATACTTCATTTGTACATCTTCCATCAATTGTCTCTTATAAACTTCATTGTCCTTTCATTTCCGTTGTTAATACAATTACTCTCTATTTACATTTCTGTTCTATTCAATACAATCTTCTCGACCTTTTGATGTTAGGCATTCTACTTCTGATTGGTGTTACATACTACTTATGTCAATAGATATAAGTAGCATAAACCACAATGGTATCGTTTCTTGTATTATAATGTAATGAAAGATTAGCCTACCTACCTACCTACCTACCGATTAGCATTATATGAAATATTAATATACATTGGAAAGCAAACATTACATACTACTCATAAAGCAATGTTACTTTTTATGTGATACAAATAATTGACAAAACTATATTTCAAGTTAATGGTATAATAAAAAAGACTGAAATATATTATGAATATAATGTAATGTAATATAAGATTATGTAAATAGTATTACTGAAGTGTATAGCAAAGATAATATATATATATATATATATATATATATATATATGACAATAATTAGGTATTTTATTTGAAATATTTACAAAAATACAAAAACAATGATTATAAGGACTCAATAACTAAATGAATAACGCGATGGCATTTGAAGCGAATGATATTGGGTTCAAGTCCCATAAAGAATATCACCAAGTTTAAGATGCAAGTACATTCAGTTGACGAGTCCCAAATAGGATGAAATGAGCGTCAAACTTAATACAACTGCTAGCCACTATTTCATTTTTACTTAGAAATGATTCTATTATTTTTAAAGGATGCTAATTTAATTTATATTTGTTTAATAGTTATCAAATTACATAATCATTCAATCATTTAATGATTAAACAATTTCTTCTATTATCAATGTCATTTAGTTTGTAGAGTTTACTAATGTGTCATTTAAACTTAAAGTATTTACTCATTTATTTTCAATACTGATGATATATATATGTCATGTATTAGATATTACATTTCTTCATAGATTTGCACTGACAATTACTACAGAAATGACATTACTGACAATGAATTACACTTGATATACTGACAGATGATGTAATAATACAATACATTCAATATTCATCAGTTTAATTGATTGAAGTTAAAGATTAATATTATTGGATACTAAATCAGTGGTCTAAAGATTAAGATTTTGTGTGCTAAAATCTAAGGTACTGGGTACGACTCCTGTATACGTAGTTAAAAATGCGCGCCTTTGAAAAGTCCCATAATAAAATAAAATGACCGTTCAATGCTTCCAGATTTTCAATGATGGTCTAACAAAGATAGGTTCATGATTTCAATGTAATTTTATAATATTGTATATCTATGTTTATTCAGTAAATGATTAAATACATGATGTTAAGTACTACCCATTTAATGTATACCAATCTGACTGTTAATTGATATGATTCGTATAAAACGTAGTGTATTCAGTTATTCATGTTGACTTTTATTGAGTGATAAATAAATCCTCATTCGACATAACTGTGTTCTCATTTGCATCATCCGATTCCTGATTTTATTACTGAAACATCAAGATTTATTAACATTTGCAACAGTGATGACATGTATGTCTAAAAATCTCAATAAATCTTCATATGGATCATTTATTACTTGGGATCATGGGAACTAGAAAAGTTCTCGAGTAATTATAACTTTAGGCGATTTGTATTTAATAAGTAGACTTAAAACAAAGTGAATTTATTGTTAACACTGAATTGAGATTGCTGAATTTAATCAGAATCACGAACCAACCAATGTTAAACCAATAATGAAAACATGAAAGCACTTGACGGTCGTCTCGTGATGATATGGAACACATGAGAAGTGTCCATCCATGACTTCACAGATAAGAATCGAATCCTGTACCTTTCTTTGATTCTACACACATTTTTATTCTTATTTTGTCATAGAATATCAAGCGAATTGATACGAAAGAAGATTTATGAAGTGTTTAAAAATTAGCTGTTTCTCCCTCATCACTTTTTAAAATTGTTCCGGTCAACTAAATTTCCACTTTCCTAGAGGAAAGTACGTTGGCTTACAAATTCACATATAGAGTCATCTAATCAGCATATTTTAACGTTGAAATGCAAACTCTGTTCAACGAATGTTTGAAAACCGTTTCGAAATGAACTTAATTGCTACATTCAATCAATTATTCGTCATAGACTAGAATACAGTATATTAAACTAGATAAATCAAAATTTCTGAAAAGAGGCAATCGGTGTAGATCTTAAGATTTAAATTAGAATGTTAGGTTTCAGTATTAGGTCGAACTATCAGTATTTGGTAGCGTGGCTTTTATATTATTTCAACCATTACTATAAATAATGATTTAAGTAAAATTTTCTCTCACCGATTTCCAGCGGTACACAGTAACTCAGCAGTGTATAATGTTATTCAGCTGATTTTATTCTGTCATTTAAACTAGAAGGTTAACTGAAATGTCAGAATACTATTTCTTGCTGTACAGAAAGTAGAAATAACAGTTATAAAAATAACGAAAGATATAAGTTATGCCTGGTGTTTGTATGCTTGATACCAACTTCTAAATGTTCTTCAGAAATGTCCTACATTTGTACGTCGGAAGGAAGACAAAAGGCGGGAAGTTTGGAAGGAAGTTTCACTCCCAACGTTAGTTGAAGTATTCTCGAAGCTTCTAGAAATATTTTAAAATTAATAACACGATCAGTGATCATCCAATTCAGATATGACATGAACTTTCTAGGTAGTTTCTGTTGTATTCTGTTTGGACGAAATAGTCACAACAACAGTTTGTGATTAGCTTAAGCTGGATTAATATTATGATAATGAGGCGATCAGATAGTTCATCTAGAAATCTTACAGAATGTTTAAGGCTAAATCTAGTTCGAAAAATACGATAATCTAAAAAAAACGAACATTAATCAACTGATCACTGTGTATTGATCAATGTTATGTTTGTCTAGTATTTTAGTGATGACCGAATTCTACCGACCAGGTTACCATATGGCTTATGAATTAAGTGGCCAGACATTGCGTTCACTAGGTTCTGGTATTAAGTGGTTCGATAAAGATGATACGAAACCCTGTTTGATTGTAGTTTTGTGTTAGTTGGTAGTGTTCAACAAGGTATAGTTGCACTATTGTTCGGTGTGATTCTTCTAGTCATCCAGCTTTAAATGCCGAGATGTCAACCGGAATATTCGGATGTAACTTAAACTTAGTCACAACTCAGTGATCAGTCAGTTGTAAACAAATCAATCCTGCAGAAGGTCTGTCGCATCCTAAATGGGCTAGTTGTAACGTCACATGCTGAAACAGTATGATGAGGGTTCAGATCCATCAGAGATCACTAGTTTCTTCAATATTACAGGTACGCCTTGTTGAGGCGTAATATTCGAGATGAGAAGTAAAATAAACAATAGATTATGGACAACTTTTAACCAGAAAAAAAAACTAAGGAATAACACTAAGAGTCACTTGACAGAATCAAGCTGCTGGCGCCTCAACTACAAAAGCACTATTTTGATCAAGGTCACATGGTGGTGAAAAGTTCCAAGAAGTTGAAAAGTCTGTGTAACTAGGTACCTGTGTGATTGCTAGTGGTGGAATGTCAGATGAAATTATTTCAACATATAGAGACAGAGGTGGTTTGTACTAATCTAAGCCATTTTATATACCGTTGTAATGTTAGTCTGGATGTAAAAGATCGAGTCTACAAAGTATCAATGAAAGCAGTCCTGACATATACTTGTGAAGCTTTACCATTAAAAATTGAGGATGTTAACCAATTATCTGTTAAATCACTGTTATATTCGAAGAATTACATACATTCAGTGGCATCACCAGGTTATAAAAGGTGGTTTTAGGACACTGTGACAATAATCCAAATCATATCACCATCGTGAAAAACCGGTTTCAGTGGCTTCATTTGGTGTTACAAATGACTTCTACACCGTACATTGTTTGGCGATGCTGAGAGTGGGTAGTAAAAGCGAAGAGGTGGAAGTTTCGTGACATAGCACCTGAGTACAAAAGAAAGCTGTGGGAAACTGGAACCTATCGTCTCATCATAGCTCCTCAGATTGGAGTCCGAAAGATTTTTTAACTCAGTGGTTTGAGATGTTGTCACATATTGCTCGGGCTAGTAGCCAATGTCATCAATGTCAGACCCCAATGGTAACTTGGAAGCGCTGGATGGCCGTTTCGTCTCAGTGCAGGACTCCGCAGCAGTGCACATCCATGATTCCACACCCAGGACTAGGACTCAAGACCATGAGTATTGAGCACGAACTATTAAATTCTAGTACACTGAGCCGGCATCTTATGGTGTTATTGTATAAATTCAACTAATACACGATAATGCATGACCATCCTTGATTGTCTTCGGTGGGTAACTTTGCCTCACACCCGGAAGAAATGAACTCCACTGGTCATAACTCTTCTAAATGAAGATCTTTTAACTCCCAGTGCAGGGTTTAAATGGTTTGAATTATTTTTCCTAGTTGGTGTTTTTTAGTGAATTAGATTTCTACTGGATGGGTTCGCTAACCACATATCCAAGCCTTTTCCTTTATCCGGGCTTGGGACCAACAGTAGCCCCAGAGGGGCTCCAGGGGGGAGTTTGTGTACTACACAGCAGCATTACAGTAGTTATTTTCGAGAAATTAGTTCAGAACTCAGGTAAATATTCAATATATATATTTTTTGTCTCATTTAGATTGATTTGTGATGTCAGTAAAATTCGACACTCAGAACAATCCCCCAATACTGATAATAATCAAGTAATCATTAGTGACTAATTTCATAAGAGGATTTCAAGAGTTTTAGTGACCGATGAAGTCCAACCATGTCAAGATTAAGGTAAATTTTATCGATAACAATGGATCATGATGGAAGATATTCTCGTATTCATTAAAATTAAGAATGTATACTATTAGATCTTGGGTTTATAATCTAAATGTTTAGTACTTACAATGAAACTTGAGAATTATAAATACAGTTTTTAGTTTGATTTTGAATGCATACTACTGATGAAGTGAAAAAATATATATAGACCAAAAAATTCTAGTTGATACATATTACGAGAGACTAAGGAGTTCTATACTAAAATGAATCAGATATTCAATACTACCCTGATGATGATTATCTTATTAAGATTGATTTATTATATCATCAAATGACATAGAATACTTGACAGAATTAAACTATTCACATACTATATATATTAAAATATTCTTTTTATTCAATACACTTACCTAGATTTTCCCGTAATATAACAGTAGTACTATTTGCAGAACTTGGTTCAGTACTACGTGAACTAGTTGATGATCTTTTTGATGATGGTGATGATATTATCGCTGTGACTGAAGACAATGATACAGGTATAGATTGTGTAACAGATAAAGGAAGTTCTAATTTACAATAAACATATTGATTACTTTTATTATTATCATTATTATTATTATTATTATTATTATTATTATTATTGACAGTATTGTTAATATGATTATCAACAACTGAATAATTATGGATCATTTCAACTGTATCAGAAAAGATTGAATTCATTGTTGATGTAGTTGTTATAGGTGATGTAATTGAAATACATTCAGTTGAATTATGTATAGTATCATATTGAAATAATGGTGATAAATTTGTTGGTGATTGAAAATCAATTGATGAATGAACTATAGAAGATGATGTAGATGATGAAGATAATAATAATAATGATGATAATTTTTGATCAGGAATAATTAATGAATCATTATAACCACTATCACTATGTTGTGGATCAGAACAATTTAATGGATTTAGAAATTGTTGTTGTGACATATTATTCATATTCTGTTTATTAGTAGTATTATTATTATTATCTTTTAAATTATGTAATAAGATATTATTTTCAGGTTTTATGAAATTATTTTTTAATACAGTAAGTGAATCATTTGGGAATTCTGGGAAATCTATGGAAATGAAATAGGAAAGAATATATGTATATATGTTATTTTATTATTATAAAAGAAAAGATTTATAGGTAACAGCGAAATTTAGGATATGTATATCGTCTCATATAGCTATATGGCTATGTAGAGCTGAAGGTCTCATATGAGGCTGGAGGTTCGCCATTGTTGTTGTGGATGGTTCGGCATTGCTTTGGCAAGTTCATGTAAAAACTCGGTTTGTTGGTTAACTGATTTCATTCATACTGGTGGTTGCTTTTCAGTGTTCCCGAGGGCCATTGTCATTGGGACATTGTAAGGCACGTCGCCATTGCTAACATTAACGAGTTTGACTGTCGTGTAAGCGGAATAGGTCAACTTTGGCCTGTTCATGCTGTGCATAACTGATTCACGCGATCATTGATCGGAATAACTATACACGTGATGTGAATGTGTGTATGAATGGTGCGAATGGTCCACCAGGCTGCTTGGTACCTGTGTGGTTGCGCCACAGGATTGAGCTGTACTATTCAGATTGTAGCGTTAAAGCCTATACGGTGTCTGGTTCCCCTGCTAAACGGGGTTGAGCTGTACTGTTTGGGTTGTCACTTGAAAGTCCGGATGTTGTCTGGTTTTCCTGAAAACCAATGTAAAATTACCCTGGCCCACAAGGGTATATTATATAGCTGTGAATATATTTATATAATATCGTCTCATTTAAGAATCATCAACTAGATTTATCTGCTTATTTCAGGGTTATTCTGCATGTCAAGACTTGAACGCTGTATCTTTTGCTGAGCTACTTGGTTCAGATAGCCATAAACGTGTTCAACAGACCTGCTGTTTTTAGTTCATCATTGGTGTGGATTTGAATTATCTCGTTGTAGATATTCTTGAACGAACTTAGATCATCGTTTATTGATATGCACGAATTATCTTATGAGAATTGTCGCAATATAGTTGTTTTGTTAAATGTAGGATCGTGGATAGATAGATATTAATAAGTAACGAATAAAGAATCGTACAAAGCCTAATTTTGATGATGCGATATAACGCAGCATTCTATCAGAGAAGTCATACAGCGTAAGAACGGCCTAAGTGGTCATTTTGATGTGGTACTTTTGAATACATGGAAATCGTAACGATCTAGTCATTAATCTAGTCTGTTGGCTTGAACTCAAGTTATTTTTAGATATTACCATGATAAGTAGCAAGTTAAGGTCCAACAGGAAGCTCATGCGGTCGATTATACAGTGATGTAAAAGAAGTAAGGTGTTTCATTAAAAGGGACAGGATCTGCAGCGATCTTACCTCCTCACAACTAAAGAGTGTTAGAAAAAATGCACACCCCATAAGGGTTGTGTGTATCACGATGCTCTATGGAGTTTCTGTCTCCGTCAGTAAAGCCTTATCACACATTCAAATGCTTATGAAAAGGTTTCAAGCAGGCGTCTGTCTGACTCTGAATTCTAGTCCCCAGTTCATCAGAACCACAAATAGCGCAGTTTCCTGCTCAATTACTTCTAAGAGAATTATCCTTCTGAACCGTAGGTAAACGAAAAGTGACAACAGGTCAAAGATATCTAACAGTACTATAGATTGATACATTTGAAGTAGGAATATAAATCTGAAATTCGATAACTATTTTACTCTACACAACTTTCATAGTTACCTATCTATGAAATAGTCATAAGTCTATCATTTGTGATAATATGCTTTGGTGAAAAGTAACAAGTGTTACTTTTCTAAAGAAACAAAGAACATGTATATCTCAATGAGAACAGATTGTTTATATATAAATAATAAGAGGATGAGATAAACTATAACATGCAACAATCTTCATTGTTCAATGTATTATCATCAATCTAAATTTGTTTAATTCGATATTCATCAGTTGATAAGCTTATATTTCTATGAGATCATGTATTGTTATTCAGAAAGTCAGTCAATCAGTCAGTCACAATGTAGGACCATGCACATATGTGCATCAGTCCAAGTTACTATACCTCATGGCAATTATAGAGAAAAATTAACAATGATAAATAATAGTAGTATCTGAAATGAAATATTAATCAATTAATTTACCAAGTTTAGTGAATACAGGCAACTTATCAGTTTCAATAGGGATTATTCTTTTTCCTATCATTGGTAATTCATATTTAGGATATTTTGTAATTGAATTATTTCTTCTTGGAATTACACTTGATGAAGTTAAACCCAATGAACGAGAAGAATTAATAAAATCAAATGGAATGTGTTGTGGAGATGGTGGTACAGATGAAATGGATCTACTTGGTATAGTAATCGGACTTGATAAACCAATAATATCAATCGCTGTGATTGGTGAATGATTTAATGGTGTATTATGTAATGATGAAGAGAAAGAAGTGTTTTTCTGTTGTTGTTGTTGTTGTTGTTGTTGTAACTGATGTGCTCGCCTTTCATTCAACGATATTATGCTTGTTAATGGAGACGTTGATGATGTTATTGTATTCACATTAGATAATGAATTTTCAAGTGTATTTGTTCTGATTATAAATTGGTTAACCCAACCAGCAACTGGTGGACCGGGTGGGGGAAATTTAAAACGATTACTGTTATTATTATTATTGTAATCAGGTGAAAATACTCTAGAATTTCTATTCGATGAATAATATCCAGTTGATAGTGTTGTTGATTGATTGTTGCCTAAACTTAAATCTTCACCAAATGATGATTGATTGAACTTTTCATGAAGTATCGGTGTTATTGCAGTTGTAGTTGGTATTATCTGATGACCTGGCATTTTGTAATAATCATGATATGTATATTGTTGATTTAATGGATTCGATGGAACGAAACCATTGAATACAGCTGTTTGTAAACTATATAAAAAGTAATCATTATCAAATGATTCCATTGCATTAAAATTCTAAAATAAGTGAGAAGAAAAGATAGTATTATTACTAATATTACTACTACTACTACTACTACTACTACTACTACTACTACTACTACTACTACTACTACTACTACTATTACTATTACTACTACTACTACTACTATTACTATTACTACTACTACTACTACTACTACTATTACTATTACTACTACTACTACTACTACTACTACTACTACTAATAATAATAATAATAATAATAATAATAATAATAATGGCAACAACTAGGATAAACAAAAGTAGTATTTTAATAGTTCAGATCATGAGTGGGATTGTTATAGCTTGCTATTACTGATGAAATTCACCTATTAGAATTTAGGCTAAGATTTCTATCCTGGGTCTACTATTCCGTTTATAGACTAGCGTTCAAATCATGATGAATTACACTTTTCAGCAGTGCATTTAATCTTAAGTTTATGCAAGGTAAGTTCCTGTTGATTCGCTGTACGTAAGCTGTTCTCTGTCTTTTCCTTTGTGTTCAGAGAGAAATTAGCAGCAAGTTTATATTATATTGTATTAAAAAGACATGTGCGTTTATATGTAAACATACTAGACCTTTATCACACCATATAATAGAAAATCTTAGTTATCCACTAAGAAGTCAAGAGGGGCTGTGAATAGGACAAGCTGAGAATAAGTGTTTACCAATAAAGTAGAAATCATAGTTAGTATCATATTAGTTGATGAGCTAAGCGAAAGATTATGGTAAATGGAATATACAGTCATAGTAATCTGATAATTATAAAACCCAGTTCCAGAAGTCCTATTTTTTTTACAGAATTCTCATTATAACAGTGACAATATCATTACCAGTATGCATACGAACTATCTGGTTAATGAAACCTCTTAACTAAATGTACATTGGTGTTTGTTAACATATGCATATTCTTTAATGATTGATTTGATATAACCATCTTACAACAAGTTATTTATAGGGGGTGAATTGTGGCTAACAGTGTAATTTAGGATACACTTTTCGATCAATTTGAGACTCTTTGGTGGGAAGTACCTCATTTAAGGTACTTCCGTACTAATAAATATACAAATATCATACCCGCGAAACAAGTTAGTGGAATTCCGGATTCTGTATCTTAGTCGAAAGCGTTTCTATAATCAATTAGAAAAACACAGGATTCAGGTCCCTATATGAATATCAACTGTAGGATGCAGACCTATCCAGTTGACGAGCTCGGAATAAGATGAAAACTATGTCTTAGCCACAACGTATGTATTCTCATTGATGCTATTAGTACTGATACAATGAGAAATACTTTTAGCGAAAACTTATCAAGTCTATAAAAGTAATTTAAAGTTGACTATGAATTGTAGATTCGATTTTGTAACACCTTACTTTTATATACGAATGGATAGTTGGGGAAAGGAAAACTATTTAACAGGGTATTATCCTATGTAATTTTCATTGTATAATCATTAAATCCCTTGATGATCATCGTCTTTCTTTATATTCGCTTATTATATAGCTTTCATTTGACTTGTATGTTATATGTTTTACTATTTCAGATTTATCAGCCATTGATTAAGTTTTGCATTACTACGTTTTTCTTTTATCATTTATGATCTATTTGTGGTTACATTATAATTTCTGATAAGCTCAGTCAAGTATATGTAATATGTACAAACCTACAAGTTGTTGGTTTAAGAATTCCGGATAATAATACAAAGGGTATTTGTTTTCTAACTTGACTGTTTGATTGGACATTGGATTAGAAAAAAAGCTTGTTAATCAATAAGCAAAAAGATCCTAAAGTTGTTTTTTTAAGTAATTCAGCTACCGTGAATTTCTTATTTGAAATGACTATATCAACAATTAAGAACCAGAAAAACAGAAAGAGGGAGTTTCTAATATTTCAGGGTAAAATTCAAGATTTCATGAAGTATCTGATCATTATGCCTTACTTATTTCACTGAGACGCAATTAACTAAATAAACGACAATTAATAGTGATGAGCAGTTCTATTTTCTCTTTTTCACTTAGTGGATACAGAACATCAAATTGGTATGAATCGACCATTTAAAGTTATCCACTGTATTGTATCGAATCAATCATATAGTTTACGGGTTTATCTTTTGCACACTGCCAAATCCATCGCCATCCACATTCAGAAGCCTTATCTTTGTACCTTGATCTACATAATCTGTCTTCTATGGTCAGCGTTATGGATACTCTCTCTCTCTCTCTCTCTCGGGTTTTCTAAAAAATTTCATTCAGTTTCATGTTCATGAATGATTTTAATATTTGCGTCTCCATTCTATTATTATTATTATTATTATTATTATTATTATTATTATTATTATTATTATTATTATTATTATTATTCGTTCAAATAAACATTCAGCGTTGTTATCAATACTGAATTTCTTACCAGATATTTTATTATATTCATTATTAATTCTATAATTACATGTGTAAATCCTTTGTTAAGTAACTTTTAGCTAAATTGAACACATAACCGTCATAATTTAATTCACAAACTGATCTTAGCTAAATCTGGAAGTATTGGACAAAAAACTGATTGAAATAGGATATTAACTTCAGTGGATCCCGGTTTCAAGATCTAGAGATTAAAAGTTTAAGTGGGAGATCAAAGGTCCTAGGTTTGGTTCGCAGATGAGGGTTTGTGGATGTATGCTATTGAAGAGTCCTAAACTAAAACAAAACGGCTGTCCAGGGCCTCCAGATCTTTCACTGGTGGTTTGACTAATATGAATTTATGATTTAACCTCTGAAAATTCTGTAGCCTCCTTAAATCTTCTTATACTAATAAAAACCTAACTATTAGATACGAGTGAATACGTTGAAAGAGTGGAAGTTCAAGAGTTATTATATATACTTTTACTGTATATATTCACTTATTACTTCGCTGATAATAATTTTGTACTGTTCTAATTGTAGGCTTTCATTTAACAAATTGACTGTTATCATATGTTTCATCGTTCATAAATTACCGTTAATTAATTGTGTACATGTTACTCAGTTTTGTACCATAAATAACCAAGTTATGTACAGATTGTTATTTTCTACTTATCGTGCTCTGTAATCGTGTATTTGGTTTACGATATCATGTTTTGATAATGTAATAAGAAGATGAAGATTATCAGAACTATGTGATATATTAGCGTAATACATTTCGAACAATCTGATCACACATATACTTGTTAAGACCATTTATATATAGAAATAAAAGGTGAACTAGACTGGAAATGGGGTAAGAGGAGACAAGGACAATAATAATAATAAGAGTGAACATAATTTGAAACCTAATCACTCTGGATAATAAGTCAATATTACCAGGGTAGGTTTAAGGTGAGATCAGATTGTTCGAAATGTACTGCACTAATATATCACATAGTTCTGATAATCTTCGTCTTCTTATTACATTATCGAAATTTATCAAAGGGACTAATTGTTTATTTTTTGGGTCAAAAATACAATAAAAAAATCATTTGGTTTTCATTATTTTCTGATTCAGTGGCCTGGAAACAGGAAATAACTGCATGGGTCAGTCAGAGTCAGGATATTTAGTGGGCATAATATATCATGTGAAATTCATTAGTGTTATTAGCAAAGGCGGAAGTCATACCACTGACAACAGTTCAAATTAGTATCATACAACATAGCGAGAACTCGTATTGTTTGGAATTTGATCACAATCGCCGAGTTTCTGACTTTTTTCCTCAGCTAAAATGTTCACACCCAAATATACTAAAACGTGCAGGATAAATAAGACGGTTGATTGTCTGTAATATTTATCCATAAGAAAACGTTCATCACACTGTAAAATTCAATATTATTTGAAGAATAAATTAGTAATAAGAGACTAAATAATTCCTTAGTGGTAAAGTAGCTTATTGTTGAAAAATGAAGAAATCGGTTATATATAATTAACAAGTTAGTTCGCTCAGTACCGAGAACTGATTGAAGTAAGACAAAAAAAACTATTGAGGGCCGGGTTAATAATTCGAAATCTATAGACTAGATACGAGAACTCATCGTCCTAGGTTCAATCCCTTGTGGTGCGTTCGTCGATGGGCACTATCGATGGACTAAAAATCAACTGAAAATCCTAGTTGGTGCAAACAAAAAGAGATTGAAACGATTGATATGCACATATTCGCTATGTTGTCGGGGAAAAAGTACTCACCACCATTATTATTATTATTGGTATTGCCAGCCGAGTGATGTGAACTGGTCTACCAGCTTTTCAATGTTATATAAGTGTGCCATATTTAACATTTTTGGCAACTTTTTACTCAAAGGATGAGTGCTGCATGTTCGAGCGTAATTTTAACTGACGAACAAATTTCCAACCCTTTCTTTATCAGTCGAGATATGGGGATGCGCTACGTTAACGTGTTCATAGCAGATGTGGTTAACTTCAAATGCTTGAAATAAACGAAAAATGCACGGAAATGTTGGTTACTGTGTACTTATGGATAACCTCAAAAACTGAATATAGTAAGTTTTTCAATGATTTTCCCGTTAAAAATATTGTGATCATTTGAATCAACATACTTATTATCTAAACATGTTTTATGTTGTGCAACTTTCAGTGAAAACGAAAACGTACACAAACACACATACTCAGAGGCATGCAAAAACAAATGTATGTACAATCACTAGGTTTATCATTCAAAATGAATAGCCTTTATCTTTACATACCTTTGGCTCATTTTAAACGTAAATAATCTAGGTAGTTGTATCATTTCATGAAACATAATATTTGTTTATTCTGAAGAATGTGTCAACTTATTAGCAGTAAATCACAAGGTCTACAAATTTTGTGGTACGATTAATGAGACTATAATTTATGGACGACCTTTGAGCGATGCTTAAGAAACCTTGAGAATGTCCGCCTACATACTACGGCTAAGTGAAGGATATAAACCAGTGTGAGGAATTAGGATTAATATTTACAGTTGACAGGTAGGGTTGGGAATCCGATATAGAGTTC